AGCTTGTGACAATATAGTCATGCTATTTAATCCTTGTGTGGTGATCCTAAATCATTACCTATCATAGTACTCTAATGGACTCTCTAATGTAATTACATCCCAAGGATGTGCTAACTGGATAAAGCACATCCCTATGCTGACTTTTGGAAGCGAAATCTGTATGTTTCCTGTTTGTGATAGAAGTTCAGGTGTCATCATTAGTAGTATGTGAGATATTACATGGGAGTGAAAACCTGTTTTCACCTCTTCTATTTAACTGCCTTCAAAAAGCATGGGGATGATCTGTTTAGAATACATTTATAGCACTGTGTTTAAATTCAGAATATTCTTTGTTAGTTGCATACTTTTGATCAAGAAAATATGAAGAAATAGAACATTTTAATGCATATTCAATAACAAAACAACCTTCCTGGCTCAGAAAAAAAAAAATTGGCCAGGTGAACTATGATCTAATTTTCTTCTATAATGAAAACAAAATCATAGCTCCTGAAGCATTATTCTTGGCTCCCAGCAGTTTCAAGGCATGCAAACATTACCATTTTGACTCCATCCTGCAGTTTAACTGGAAGGATTATGTCACAACACAGTATGTTTGTTTTCCAGTTTTTTGTCTGTTTGTCCATCAAGACAGTTTTGTAGAAGAAGTATGGATGATTGTTGACTTTGGAGGCAGTGGAAGTAAAAATAATTATGAATAAAAAAAGCAGACAGTACCATTGAAGGAAATGTGTGCTGTCATAGGAGAATGAATACTCCTTTCAACAAATCTATAATTTGCAGAAGTTGCAAAAAGAAAATAGCCATAAGGTGACTTTTAACATACTTCAGTTCATCCTGCCAAGAAAGTTAACTTCATAAAGTCATTAAACCAGTGATTACATTTTAAAATATTATTCCCCAGCCATTTCTTCTTAGACTTTAAAATATAGTTACTGTATATACTACCTTCTTTGTAATGTGAAAAATTGTAAAATACACTTATTTTTCATAAACTCCTAATTATTAACAGAGTTCTTTGTGCTCCTATAGTTAAAGTCATTTCAACACTTCCGTTATTTAAACTTCACATTTTGAGTTTCATAATTTGGCTGTAATAAAAAATACATTCAGACTCCAAGGTCTCAAATATTGTTTGCTGGTGTTAGGAAATTTAGCCCATTTTTCTTTAAAAAGCTAAGTAAATTGGATTGTTTTCCATTCTTTAAGATAGCCTCAAATGAAATATTTTGTAATGCAGACTAAATAATTTTAATCACTAAGATTTAGGAAAAGACAACAAGTATGTTGGAACTGGTGCTGCCCCAAATTCTGTGGCCAGCACTGAATATTACAGAGGCTTGGAGAAGGGAGATGGTAGGAAAATTCTTGCCATATCTCCACTGTTGCTATACAGAAACCTCATGTGTGAAAAGTAATAGCAGTATTTGTATCGTGCCTATCATCTGGATAGGGGCAGTAGACCTGCTGCTCCCAAAGTAAAACTTTGCCATGCTTCCACTGCAGCAAATGGCAAAAGACGTCCTGATCTAAAGGTTGCATAGCAGAAAATTGCTTTTCTGGAATGATAAATGCCTGGCTGCTTGGAGATGAATTGTTTCTTTGGTATGGCTTCCTGAAATCCCCCTTCATCATGTAACACGGCCGTGGTAATGGCTCAACAAGGCCTTTAGCGCTGGAAATTAAGGAATCAGGGCTTATTGCATATTAAGGAATCAGGGCTTATTGCATATTAATAGCAACTCTGGGACAGTCAAGTAAGACAGTTTGTTATAATACTAATTATAGCAAAGTACTCATGTTGTGGTTTGAATGAGTCAATTATGTGTGTGTTAAATCTATAAATACATCTTCCCCCCAACCTCGGCTGTGTGGTATGTAATTTTTTTTTAATTGCTTAGATACATATTTACCTGAGCATATCCTGGTTTCCCAGGTAAATACGTGTACCAATGCAGAACTCATTATGGTCTGTTTGGATAAATAATCCATATTTTATAACTGTACAGGAAGTAATTATTTTTGTATTTTGCTTTCTTTAAGCCAAAGAAATTAAATGCTCTGTGGTCATTCCTTAAAATAAAATAGATGCAGAATTCGAGGCAATATGAGAATAAAGTTTTCATTGTTTTGGTAGAAGCTGAGAATATTATTCCGGATTTTGATCTTGTGTTTAGTTCAGAATAACTCAATTAAAATAAACAGTGTTATTCAGGGTTTACTTGGATACAAATGGGACGTGAATTTGGCCTCTCTCCTTACTCTCCCTTACTTCATTGGGAGATTCCTGTAAGCAGCTTGCACACAATCTTTGCTTCGAATGACGTTGTCACTTGTTTATCATTTGAGAAATAAGGTTTTTCAGCTGCATGCGGAAATGAACATGTCTGAATGTCATGGTTTAACACAGTAACTGAGCCTCTTGCTCACTCTTCCCCAGTGGGATGGGGAGAGAGTGGGAAGGCAGACACAATCACTCTGAACATTCCTCACTTCCTTCTTCTTCCCCCAGCTTTATATGTTGAGCATGATGCTATATGTTATGGAAAATCCCTTGGGTCAGCTGGGGTCAGCTGTCCCTGCTGTGTCCCCTCCCAGCTCCTTGTGCACCCTCAGACTACTCACTGGTGTGGTGAGGAACAGAAAAGGCCTTGACTCTGTGTAAGCATTGCTCAGCAACAGCTAAAACATCCCTGTGTTATCAGCGCTGTTTCCAGCACAAATCTAAAACGTAGTCCCCTACCAGCTCCTATGAAGAAAATGAACTATCGCAGCCAGAAGCAGCACACTGAATTTTATAGTAAGAATCATAGAATGGATCGGGTTGGGTTAGGTTGGCTTGGAAGGGACCTTAAGGATTATAGTTACGGTCCTAAACATGTTAGGGAAGTAGAGCATGCTTTCATGTTGGATATTTCTGCCATTGTTTTATATGGTATTTGGAAAAGCTGTGTTGTGTTATCACTATGCTAAGGTCAGGTTTTGTAGCACTTTTAGGCTTAGAGGGAGCAAAGTTGGCCTTGGAATAAACACATTTACTGCAATAGATTCACACCAGAGATGAATACTGGCTCATTCTTCGTAAATTTATTTTTATCCAGCTCTTTATATTTTATGTTAGAAATAGAAGTAGCTTGTGTGCCCTCAAACCTAATCAGAATAAGAAACAGTTTTGCTTATCCCAAAAAATAGAACTATCGTTTTTCACATTCTTACATTTTTTTTCAAGTAAGATTATGTTACTGTGACTTCTGAATTCCTGAAATCTCTCTGGTCTCTGTGACTGCAAGGGCCAAGAGAGGATTTCCAAGGGAAAACCTGAAACTCTTCACGCAGTATGTTTTGTGTTGTGCATACAAGATACAGTTAATGTTTTGTATGCATGTGATTAGTGTGGAAAAAATTAATGCAGTCCAGCATTATGATTTATGGACTGAATCTTTTGCCCACTGAACACTTGCCAAAATGAAAATCTTCCCTGCCCCCCACTACTCCTTTGGATATTAGAAACAGCTACTGTTTTTGTTGATCTTTTTAACTTCTGAATAGGCCCATTTCAAGCCATAGCAGCATGGGAGCTCAGATTAATAATATACTTATTCAGGCAGTGATACTGAGTGAAACCATTTCTAGTGTGAGTATGAAGGATAGGATTTCTTTAAATTATTTTCAGGTGCATTAATGCATTTCTGAAAGAAGAATATAGGGATATTTGAAAATAAATAAAATTGCAGTTTATTGATCATGTTACAAGTGTGTATGAGTTTTAATATAAAGAATTTTATAAGGTGTCTCTCCTTTTGTTAACTTTTGTACTGTGCTCACTGTCAGTTCATCCATCAGATGTCTAATGAGGATAAGAACAGAGAAACTATGATTGAAACTTGCCTTTTTGACAGTGGTTTTGAATTTAGACGATAAGATATATTCCATGCTGTGAAGCATCCTTGCTATCCCACCTATTCTATAGCATCATCTTATGCCAGAACCAAAGGCTAGAGAGGTGAAAGGAGCAAATCATGTAGACTTCCCTTGTACATTTGGGTTTTACCTCCTTAGTACAATAGTTTGATAAGCATCAGCTTGCACAAGTTTGGTTTGTACTCTTGCACTTGTTTAGGTATGATCTATTTGCGTATAATCTGGCCTGATTGCCAGAACCTACTGAAAGTGAATCCAAGGCTGACGTGCTTAGTCTCTTACAAAAAGATTTTTGTTCTTCACAGCGCAATTTGGGGCCTTTAGAGGCACTGTCACAATGGAGGTGAGGACAGTTCTTTGCTTCACACTCCTTTGGCCACCTCCTACAAATTTTTGTGGCATTCTTCGCTCAATCCCATCTTTGTCTCTTTCGTATCTGAATGGCCTGGTCAGCTCATTTTTTTTTTTTCTAATTACTTTATTAACAGAGTCAGTGTTGCCTATCAATTAATTTTCTTTCTCTTAAGTGAAATAAAAAGTATGCCTAAAAAAGTTCATGTAAGCCTGGTTTGTACTAAAGATAAGTCAAGTAGGGGTAGAGTTTCTTTCAAAAAAATACTTAGGTAAGCTGTTTAAAATTAATATTTGTTATTCTAAAAAATCATGTGAGGGATCAGCCACCATTCCACAGTTGCAGATAAAGTGCTATAGAAAGAATTTGGCATTTTTACATTGCCTGAGAGAATTATGTGTTCATTTTCTGAGCTGATGTGGTGCAAGGAAAGAAAATAGGCTTGTAGTGGGTTTTTTAAAAAGCACTCATTTTAAATATAAACAAAAATGTTTTTGCCTAATATTTATCAAAAGTCTTTCAGGCTTTCCATAAAATTGATTTTCACTTCTTGGCTAACAGGAGCTAAGTGAGTGACACCTTTGAGAGTCCCAGCTTGTGTTTTACTGCATATCTTGTGTTTTGCTATGCAAGACCATGTAAAATTTTATCTGAACTTATTTAAAAGAAACCCTAGTGAATAAATTTTTTAACATAGAAACAGACATCTCAATTTATTCATTTATTTTAGTTGCAGCAAGCAGCTGAAGTTTCTCAGTTGAGAGGAGCACGAGTCATCTCTGCTGAAGATCTCCTGTTCCTAATGCGCAAAGATAAGGTATAGCAATAAGACAAACATTTCTTATATTACATAGTGAACTGCTTATTGTGTTTTGATATGCTTGCTTAACCGATGTAAAAGGAGTCCCTCATCATGATTAGCTTTATTTGAAAGTATAGCTTCCCTGTAATTGTATTGTATTTTGCACAGTGCAATAACTGTATAACATTTTAATTCACTATCATTTTCTATTGTAACTGCAATTATCAAAACTGCAATTATTAAGTTTTAGAGTGGGTAATGTACCTTAGAGCTCAAAACAGTTTCTTAATGAAAGCATAAACATTCTTCCTTATCCTTTATATGCCTTTTATTAAAGATCAATCATTCTAATTTTCCCTCCTTATGCAGGGTGTAGGTGTGACATTTGATAGTGTGACCATTACGTTTTTGTCATCTGGGCTGTCAGTAAATCCTGTCCTGATTTGCCTTTGTAATATTTTTCCTGTACTTTATCTCACTAAATTTTCCAACTTTCAGGATGGTCTTGCTTTTTAAGGACAGTAAGTGGAGCAAGTCAATTTTTTATTATCTTTTTTTTAACAAACAATTTGCATACAAAGCTGAAATTAATTTTATTCTTCAAATTTATTTATTAATAAATGTTTGTCAACTATTTTTATCAACATTATTTATTCTTTTGTCTTCTTTTGTTCATTAGTTACCCCTTTTCACTTACCCTTTTTTCTCCCCTTTATTTTCTTTCCTCATTTGATAGGTGAAACTTAATAACCAAAGTCACATCAAAATTAAAAAATGATAGAACATGAAAACCAATTGCAGGTTTTTAATCTGATATAATCCATAAAGCTATACTCAAAACAGTGGTTAATATGAATGTCAAAGATCATGGAAATATGCATTTGTAAACTTGAATTTCCAAACTAAGTAAAGAATTTGGAGTGTCCTAAAAAAGTCTGTTTTCTCAATTTTGGCTTTCTGAAAGTCTGTCTCACAGTTGGCAAGCAAAGTATAAAGAAGCTCAGATAAATAATACTCATATAGTATTGCTTCTGACCTGGATATATTTTCTAGGTATGGATTTTTCACAGAATCAAAACTTATGAATATTTAAAAAAATATATTTACTGAGTAATGTATTACACATTTGTATGTTTATGTTACAAAGTTAGCGTAAAGAAAAAACTCTATAAAATGCTAATTAATATAATTATTTTTTTCTTTTAGAAGAAGCTTAGAAGGCTACTTAAATACATGTTTTTTCGAGACTATAAATCTAAAATTGTCAAAGGAATAGAAGAAGATGACCTCCTTGAAGGTAGAAAAAGGGAATTTACTGAATTTGGGGAAGGCTTAATATTTTATAAATGCACTGAACAGCTCAATGCAAAGTATGAATATCTAGCTTAATAGTTAAAGACAGAAAACTATTGCCTGCTTTTACATTTGAAACACTGTACAAGTATTGGTATCTATGATCCCAATAATAAGTAAAACTGCTTACTGTCAGAACTCTGTTGAGGTAAGAAACTGATGCTAATTAAAGGGCTAATTGATTTCAGCATGTATAATTTAAATGTGGCAGCTACCTCATGCAGTTGAATGGACATTTGTTAAATTATTGTCAGAGGGTTTTGGCATGTTTGGGTTTGTTGTTTTTTTTTTAAATCCCATAATCTGTAGTCACTGAATACTAATATATGACCTGGCTTTGTTTTCAGTCTGGTTTACCGTTTTATACTTCTAACCTGTAATTTAAAGAATGGGAAACACTTTTGTTTCCCATTCCATCAGCAAATCAGAGATTTTGTAGCAAATGCATTTAAAGGAAAAATCCTTTAAATTAAAAAATATATTCATTTATGCCATATAATTTGCTGATACAAAACTTTGTTGATTTATATTGATAGAATAATTAGCATTTCTTTTGTTAAATGTTAAGTTAAAACTTATCATAGCAAATCTAAACCTTGCATATCCATACATCACTTTTTTTGTATTTAGCTTACTTCCTTTCTCAGAGGTTTTTTGTTGGCTTTTTTTTTTTCCTTACAATGAATTCCTTGTGTTTGGTTCTCTGAGCATCCACATTGATGTTAGATAAACACTGTACATCTTGCTTTGACTTAATCAATCTGTGGATAAGTTTTTGTCAACTCATTTGAGATTTAATTTGCCTGTGGCATTTTATTTTCACCACACATGGAAGTATATTGTTTCATGCAAGCAATCTGGCAGTATAGCTTTCTACCTGAAGGCTTTGTTTTTTATAATACTTAAGTCTGTCTCTCTATTTAAAACAAATAACCAATTTTTGAAAGCCATTAAAAAGCTCATTAAATACTTCCTAAACACAGTTCATCTGGGAATTAAAGACTGCATTTTCTAGCAGGCTTTGGTAGTTGAAGCCATTAGTTTTGTTGTGTGACGTTAATGTCTTTGTAGCGGCCATTCTGTTTATAACAACAGAGATCACCTGTCCAGGGTTCTCCAGGCTTTACTATAGAGCATTAGTCCATATCCTGTGGAGTTGTGTCTTAATGTTTGTGTTCCGCTTTTCTTTAGGATGTAGGTAGTGAGGATATTCTGCATGTTCTCAGGAAAAAACTTTTCCTCTATGTATTCTATTCTAAAAGTGAGGTTTTTGTGCAAGCAAAGGATGGTTTCTTCTACACCTCTGTCCACTGTGAGAAATAATTATATGTGAGCAGTAGACTAGGTTTCTCCAGATTACAAAAACCACTAGGTCATACTAGAAAAGACCAAAGGTGATTTTTTACTACGGTGCTACTGCAGTATAGTAGTGACATCACCTTGCTCAGGTAGCACAACTTGTATGAGGAAAACAGTAAGAACAGGTCTTTTCTGAATAGTGCATCTGATTCTAAACCATGTCCTTCCAAGGGACATCGATTGGTGCTTGGAGAAGCCAAATAACTCAAGTTTGTTGATCTTTGCTTACCTTTGTTCAGACAAATTCAACAGCAGTAACACCAACAAACGGCAGAAGCTTGCTCAAGACTTCCTCAACTCCATTGACCAGACTGGAGAGCTCTTAGCTATGTTTGAGGACGATGAGATTGATGATGTCAAGCAAGAGCGGATGGAGGTAATTCTTTTCTTTTACTGATACCCAGCTTCAGCAGAGAAAACTGAAATACTTCATACATCATGCTGGTTTGATGCCTTTTTCATGCTGCCTATTATATAACATTGTTACATGTTTTTTCCCTTTGCCCAGATGGTCCAAAGGAATCCTATTTCCATATTTTTCCTATTCCCTCAAATGTTTCCTGATATCTAAGAACACATGCTGAGAAGGAAGATTACCAAAGGATAGTTATGGATCTTTCTGTCTGCCATGTATTTGTATTTCCTTCCTGTAGAATGAAGATTCTATTTATAAACATTTCACACACATATTTTTACTATCAGTTTTTTTCTTTTTCATTATTGGTCTCATTTGAAAAATGTTTCAACAGCATTTTGGGACATTCTGTTTTGTCATTTCGGTACAATTTTTTGGGGGTCTGAAATGCTACAGAAGTTGCTAAATGTATGATGTTCCCTGTCCTAGAAAAAGACAGATCTGATTCTGTGTCTGTCAAGGAATGTGTTCCTGTAATTAAATATTTATCTTTGAGCTGACTACATTTTGTCTTTTCTCACTGGACTGTAATTCATGAAGTGTATATACATACCTTATAAAGTAACTCTCTCTGTTGCTCTTCTTTATTACATTTTGTGAACTCTTGATCTGTTTCCATGTTAAAAAAAAACCAAACAAACCCTCAAGATCTACTTATTTTAGATTAATGAATTCTGTAAATGTGTGAAGTCAGTACTATGTACTTTCTTTCTTACTAAATTTTCAAACTAATGACAAAACATGAAAGATTGCTTGAGATATCCTATTCAAAATGTTTAACATATTTTTGGCTTCCTTTGGGATTTTGTTGTCACTTTTAGGTATGTGGAAAGGAATCAAAGATAGTAGGAATTGTGCTGCATTCCTAAAGGAAGAGTTGTTAATGGATGTGCTAACCTCTTGTATCACATTTTCTTTGTGCAGTACATTGTCTAATCCATGCTATGTTTTGGAGGATATCCAATAGACGCTTTAACAGCATTCTTTGAGGAATTAGTATGCTTAAATCATGAATTACAATCTAAAGGCAGTGTTCCTTTTAGGTATCAATTACGTCAGAAATGTGTGGTTATCTTGATTTGGACAACTGTAAATGATTTCAGTTCCACTTTGCCTTGGGCCAAAATCATGCTAAGTTGTACAGAGCAGATGATAAACATATATTTTTGATGTCATTATGAGCTAAACAGGATATGATTGTTTAGCAGTTTGGTTTCAGTTATGATACAAAAAGCAAATATTGTTTATACTCTTTTCTTTTAAAACATTTTATAAAATTAGAGCTAAGAATTCATGAGATTGCTTGCTGTTCTGTGAGGTCTATTCTGCATTTGTACCATGGAGGAGTAAGCAAAGCTCTAAGCCACTTTCAAATGTTACAAAGGAGAACAAACAATTCTACACTTTGGACTGAAAAACACCCTCTAATGCTGTCGTATTAAAAAGAAACTACATTCTTATAGGATTAAATATAGAACTTATTGATGTATCCTGTGATTTTCATTTGAAGCAGAAGGACTACCTCTAAAACAGTAGTAATAGCGATGTGCAAAGGAAAGTGAAATACTCTTAAAATACAGGGCAGACATTAAGAACAAAATTCACATTGCTTTGTCATGGTACATGATTATGGTATTGATACGTTGTGCTTAGATGACTTATTACAAAAACTTCAATAATAGCAATAAATGATGGCAAACCAGCTACCTGTACTGGCAAAATCAAAACAAAATAAAACTGGAATAGCACCTATGCATCACTTCATGACAGTTAGTATTTTGCCTTCCTAAGATAGCAGTGAAACCCTACTCCTTAGAGTAAGAACAGTTATAGATGGAATAAACTGTCTTGTTATTAAAATCAAATATAGGTATTTTTAAACCTCAGGCAATGTCATTGCAAAGCTGACTTTTCTCTCATTCTGTCGATATCAACTTTTTATCATTTATTTTGTAGTTCAAATACCACCCCTACCAGGAAAAATTCTTCCCATCAGATGTCTGAACTGACATACAAAGGAATGTGTAGTGCATCGTGCTGTGAATGCTCTGTTTCATTTTTGTTCCCCTAGGATTGAGAGAAACACCATTCATCTGTCACTCTGACTGCTAATTTAGGGATGTATTTCCAGCACTCACATGTTACATGCAATAATTCAGTTGCAGTAGCTGCCATAATGCTTTCATAGTACATTGCAAGTTTGAATAAACAGTGGAGGGAAAATAAGTTCCCTAGAAGAACAGAATTCCTTGAAAGCAGACTAGATGCCAGCAAAATGCTAAAACTAAGTTACATCCCTATGGAAAGGGACTGGCAGAAGCTTGCGGTTCTTAAATGTGTCTTGTCCTATGAGATACATTAGGTATTTAAAAACTACAGGTACATATTATTGTTCTAGGAAGTTCATTGTGGATGTGATTTGCTTCTGTTAGTGGGAAATCTGTACAAAGCTCACAGAAATGCAATGGGCTGTGTCCAAAATAAGTAGAGTGCAATAAAATGTAGGTGCATTTGGAATATATCCTTTTTTTTCACACGAGGTTTAATTACTCCAGTTTAATTCTGTCTCTGTTCAGATACAGTTAATTTGTTTCTGGGCAATACACCTAAACTAACCTAAATGCACCTTGGCATATGAGGAATCATGCTGTGTAGTCCACTTTGTTTTAGTCATAGAAATAAGGTAGACTTTGTATGCAGTACTAAATTAGCAACGACCAAGAAGATTCCTTCTACTGGAATATAACCATCAGCTTTTGAGTCATCACACTTAGACCTGAGCAAGGTAGCATTGTCCCATTCCTAGGAGTCAGCCTGGGCCAGGAGCTATTTCCAGCACACATTTTGGATGTGGCCACTCTCTTGGGGAGGTTTGGAGATGAGGAACAGGGACACAGGAGGAACATGGACACACGTTGCTCCATGCTGGCTGCCCTTGCACCTAGGGCATGGACCTGGTGTCTTATAACTGAGACAGCTAAAATTTGGTGTCATAGTTCAGAAGAAACCCTATGAGCACTTGTGTTCAAGGAGGATATGAAAAAGGGTGTTGAAGTACTCAAATTCATTGTAGTAATTTGGAAAAGACATACAAAAAATGAACAGAAAAGTATTTAGAAAAAGCTCTGAAGCCTTTGAGGACTACTGTGCTCATCGTACTGGTGAAAATTATGCCAGTGTAAGTGCTGTATGGGGTCATCACTCTTTAGGGAGTATCTGTTCCTGCAGGGTGTATTACTAACAAACTGGAATTTTATTTAAAGCCCATATAGAAAGCTTAGTGCTGTAGTACAGATAACATACACTTAAGAGAAACTGCATGCCAGAAGACAAACTAAGAAGTTTCATGATACGAGGCATCAAGGCATTGCTTCTCAGAGCATATCTTTTTTGCTGTAGAATTGTTACGATAAACTCATTTTTCTTCAGAAATAATTACTTTTAACTTTCTCGCTGATTTCAGATTCTTGTCAGTAGAATCTATATTGTGTATTTAGTTGAGCGGTAACTTCTTATATCTCACAATATTGTTCCCAAATCAAATAATTTATTAATTTTTAGAATCAGAGTTTATAAGCACTAACCCTTCTTTGATTTTAACAACTATACCTTATGGAAGAATGCATCTTGGGGTAAGATTCAGCTACAGATGAAAACATTTAAATTTGTTTGGGGTTTATGCATGGGAGTTAGGTGTCTCATCTCCTGCTCTAATTACTGGAGACTCAGGCATTATAAATAATGGAGTTTAAAGAGCTGTCAAGCTGACCAAATGTTTGTATCTTCTTTACAATGAGATACACAGCTCCTCTGGATGTATTCATCTTGTAGAAAATTTCCCTGTGTTGTCAGTTACCATTCTGCTTCTAATCCTGGCTATGTGGGGGGAGTTGAGGCTGAAAAACTAAGATTAAAAATATTAGAAGTGGAAAAGGCTTGAGTTTTTGGGAACTAGAGTTTTGGGGAACTAGTAAAGGGATGGAGTGTATATATATATATACTCACAAGTACATATGGTTGCTCAGGTTCACTTGAGAATAGAAGTGCAATGCTTGTATTTTTGTGCTGTCTTAAAAGAATACTCTCACAGATCTGTCATCCATTTATCTTGTGCTGGTCCACATAAAGAATTGCACCTTTCTAATATATCATTTACACCAGCAACTCAATAGCCTTAAATTTTAAGACATTAAGTTTTGAAAAAATAAAAGGGTATAGAAAATAAGATTCCTTTTCTTTATCCAGAGTTGTCAAATAGGGATCCCAGTGCAAAAACACAGAAGGACAAGCCATACCATTAGAAACCTTACATCTTATGATTCATTTTTGTATTTGTATGACTAAATAATCGGAGCCCTAAGTGTAAACCAGTATCATCCTCACCTGTGTGTCCAGGCCAAATAAGAGGAGATTGTCTTGAATTTGAAAAGGGATTTCAAATGTCTAAGTAAAGTACTCAAATAGGAGCTGGAAAGTTCCTGCGTGAGGACATCAGATTCCAGGGATAGTGATGAAAAAAAACAGGATCTCCCTTTCCCACCCCCTTAAACTGCTTTGAGAGCTCAGTGCATTGCTACTGCAAGTTGGTCAGAACTTCACTTAACCATTCCTGCCAAAAAGTTTAAACATCCCAATAACTTAAGGCCAGATTCTGTACTCGGAAATGAGAGAGAAACAATCCAGGGGGAAGTTCATTTCTTAGATCAGAGAGGAAAATGCTAATTCTTTGCTTATTTAATGCTTTACACTTTGAACATAATCCATCAGAAACTAGGAAAAGTACTTCTGGTGTCTCCAGGGTGGTTCTTTCTGGAGACTGAAGTTCTGTATATGCAGTGGGACCTTGATGATATGAGAACAGTGTATGATGATCTGTAGCAGACTATAAGGTCAGCATCAGCTCCCTGTATACCATCTACTTCTTTTGACATACATAGATGCAAAGATTAAAAAGAACGATA